ATGCTACCCATCTGGTCCTGTAAATCTTGAAAACGGCACCTTGGTTCCTCTGGCCTGCCTCCAGTGAGGCTATGCTCTGGTTCATCCTCGTGAAAGTTGCCTGGGTGGTAGTCATGAATGCCGCTAGAATGTTTTTCAGCTCCGTCATCTGATTATGTGGAGCCGGAGCTGCTGCTGGCTCGGCATACTAACGCTGAGGGTGCTGCTGAGGACTGGCCCTTATCTAGCCTGGAAAGGCTGCCTCTGCTGAAAACCACTTGCTGGTGTTGGGAAACCAGGTGGCTTAGTGGTGTTGGTATTCCAAGAAAAGTTGGGATGCTGGCACCACCCCTCATTGTATGTATTGCTGTAGGGGGTCAAAGCGCCGAGCATTGGCGATGAAGTCCAGCTACTCTTGGGGAGTAGTTGACTCCCGCATAGCCTGGCAGTCTTCCACCAGAGGATTTGAGCTCTCACACCACTGACATTGAGCTACTAAAGGTGTAGCCAAACCTCTACCTGGAATAAGGCTGTTGGGCTGCTTCAATGTCTGCACTAACTCGGCTACCTGTTGCTCGAGCCCGGACCTGGCCTCCATGGCGTGCACATCATGCTCCCGGAAATTCCTGCCTCTGGTACTCTGCCCCTAGGAATGATCTCTGGCAGCCAGTGTAGTGATCATTTGGTTCAGTTCGGGTGGGGGTCTTAGTAAGAATATCCCCTCCTGGGCATAGAGACTCAATCACCCTCTAGCTGTCCGGAGAGAGAGAGAGCACTGTAGAAGTCCCCCACTGTGAATGCATCACTGAAGCCCTGATGGGGACACTGCCAGAAATATCCCAAGTACTGCTCCCATGCATTTCTTAAAGCGTAGCCTCACTGTAGGCAGGCCACTTCTTAGCATTTCCCACAAGAGAATGGGGGAAGAGGTGAAGGCGGATTGCGTCATCAGGGACACCGTTTAGCTTGAACCCGTTCGTCAGCTACAGAAAACGGGAAAGATGCACCCTCGCCTCCTCATCCTTCAGGCCATGGAACTGGATAGAGGATGTAATGAGTTGAATCCAGTATGGCTTGATCTCAAAGTTGTTCGCTGGAAAGGGCGGATAGAGGATGACAGGGCGGATGTCAGCAATTCGTGGAGGGTAGTAGTACTCCAAGGTGGGACCCGGCGGCGGTGGATGATGATGAACCCCATCTTCCTGGGGAACCTGGTGAGGATTTCCCTGGTGTGGATTGTGATCTCCTTCCATCTCGTACTCGTCCTCGAAATCGCTGCTCAAATGGCCGTCTATGCGCTCCTCCGTAGCCAGTCTAGCTCGTTGTTGTCTCCTAAGTTGGCGACAGGTGCGTTCAAGCTCCGGATGCAACGACAGTAAACCTCCTGACTGGCTACGGGTCATGCACTACCTGCACACAGTCAAGCAGCAAACCCGTGAAGGAACAAGTGGGACAAAGCAAACAATGCGAAAAGAAAAGCTAAATTAATAGAATTCACGTTTCTTCAACAACCTAGTCGTTCCCGGCAACGGCGCCAAAAACTTAACTCACTCCTACTATCACTCTAGAAAATGGCCAACTGTAACCACTTCCTAAAGCGTAGTATAGTGGGTTTGGGTTTTAATGTCAACCCGGGTCCTAGATGTGATGACTACTCAGCGAATTCTTATTATCTAGCGGTGAAACTTTAGTGCAAGTTCAAACAAGCAAACAAGTAAAGCAAGCAATTAAACGGTTGTTATCAAGTCGAGAGAGGTCACCTGGATATGGTTCCCCCTAGACTGCAGTTAAGCCGGATTTCAATTTACCAGGTTCAGTTTCTATGATAGTTATATTGCGGGAGGTTCTTAAACAGTCTGAAGTCTCGACTAAAGGTCTCCAGACCCTCTCAATCTGAGTCTCCAGCGGGCGACTAACCTCCACCGGAGTAAACAGATTGAGGCCTTAACGAACCAAACCTCCACTACCGAATTGAATTCGGTACAGAATAGCGAATTGGCTCCTCGACTAAAGTCACCAATTCGCCACCTTCAATTAAGGGTGCTCTATCAACCTAGCCAGATATTCTCATTCTAGGTTAAAGCAGAAACAATAGGAATTTGATCAGGATTCAAGTCATTCAATCATTCAAGCCTCAATCGAATATAATCAACTCATGAAATCTGTACTTGGGTTCATACAATCAGACCTAACATACAAATCTAGGGTTCTCCATACCCAGATGAATGGGAAAACTACTCCATGGAGAGAGAAGCAAAAGCAGATTCAGACGCCGAAATCATACTATGAAGGATGAGTTTCTGCTCCTGGTTGTCAATCGGCACTTCTCCAAGCTCAAGCCGGGCTCCAATGGTGATGAAGATCAGGCTATGGCACTTGGGAACTCTGGTTCATCGCTTTCTCTCTCTAGGAATCGCTCTGTCTCTCTAAAACTCGGAACCCTTGATTTTTGGCTTTCTTTTCCTTTAAAAGGCTGACTGTCGCGATCCCCGGTCGGGTATTTTGGGTCGCGCCCGGGTATAATTGATACTCACCGTTTTTGACTCAGGGGAAATCCTCGGTCTGGCCCAAGAATCCCCGACCGGGGGTTTTTGCCTCCTGCCCGGGCCCCCTTCTGTTTCTCACGGACGCCCAAAGCCAAAAATCCCCGGACATGGCCAGATAATACCCGGTCGGGTATTTCTTCTCATGGCCGGGTATTTTTGCTCTCCAGCACACTTCAAGCCTCACTTGCTCCTTTTGACCCGAATCTCATTCCTTCGCCTCGATTCCAACGCCGGGTCTTGAAATATGACATAAACGTACAACCTCGCGTGAAATCGGCTTAAAACACGAGAATTAACATCTCAAACGGCTCAAGAATAGGGGTAAAAACATGTGCAATTATCAGTCTATCATTTATACAATCAGACCTAACATACAAATCTAGGGTTCTCTATACCCAGATGAATGGGAAAACTACTTCATGGAGAGAGAAGCAAAAGCATATTCAGATGCGGAAACCATACTGTAAAGGATGGGTTTCTGCTCCTGGTCGTCAATCGGCACTTCTCCAAGCTCAAGCCGGGCTCCAATGGTGATGAAGATCAAGCTAGGGCACTTGGGAACTCTGCTTCATCGCTTTCTCTCTCTAGGAATCGATCTTTCTCTCTAAAACTCGAAATTCCCTCTTCTTTGGCTCAAATCTGCCTAAAAAGGCCGACCCTGGGCAAAACACGGTCGATGGCACGGCCGTGCTTTGGTTTTGCCCACCCGTGTTTTGCCCCATGTTAAAAACACGCTCGCGTCGGCCAAAATACGGTCGTGCCTAAATATGGACACGACCGTGTTTTGATTTAGGCCAATCCGTGTTTTGCTTTTCCATTAGTTCAGCTCTCGGCAATAAAAACACTGGCATGCCTGTTTGTGTACACGGCCGTGTTTTGGTTTAGGCAAGCCCGTGCTTTGGCCCTAGCTCGACCGAATGACTTCCAAATGCCCCGAAACTCGTGCTTAGCCTTTCCTTCGACGTCTGGGACCTGAAATATGACAAAGTAGCACAACCCAACGTAAAACGGGCCAAAAATACACGACTACTTGCCGCAAACGGATAAGAACTAAGGGTGCAAACATGTGCCAACACATCGCTATCAATATTCCTGGAAAGAAATCTGTTTCCGAGTTACTTGACTTAGTTCATCTCCCTTCCACTGTAAGTCAGTTAGTTGGTATTTGTTGATATTTTATTTTGGCACATTTTCCTAACTCTGCATTAATTAATGATATATAGGATTCATATTGGTGTATGGTACAAATCATACGAGTTTACCGTCTACATGGGCAAGTGGTCGTGCCAGATGGGCGTCCTAGGTAAGCCAATTCTCTTCTCTATATATATGACTTATGGTTACTACTATTGAAAGGCAAGTAGTCTCGTTGTGTATATCCTATATTATTCCACTCTCTACGTTGTGTAATGGGATGTACTAAGAGGAAGGAGTTAGCAAATACATCATCTTCTTTTGGCGATGGTAGCCAAGATTTGCCTCATCATGACAATGTTACGTCGTCGGATCCAAATATTCGACACAGACGACGCTTGTCTAAGTGGGCTATGTTCTTTTCAGGATTGCATATTAACGGTTGTCCTAATAACGTGCCTTCTACTGAAGTTGAGTCCGTGCCAGAGTTACTAGAAGGTCAACCGTCAATGGTATGTTAATATTTTATTACAAAGTTGTAAAATGCAAACCAGCGTTTGTTTGACGATCACGGGAATGGAGGGTGTTAACAATAATCCGACTTCGAACAATGATGAATGGAGTGATGACACTTACGCTAACGGTACTTTTTTTGGTTTGAATGATTTTTTTAAAGGTTGTACGAATTTTTGTTTGTTTCCTATAATTTATGGTTATTCCCTTGACTGTTACATCGTCTTTTTGTCAGGCAACTTCAATGCTTTCGATAGCATTGTTGCATCTTCCTTAGTAGGTACTGCGCTTCATGAAAATACCTATGGAACGGAAAGTATATTCCCGCACGATGTGATATTGAGTATTGGTTTCCCTTCTTGCATTTGTGAGTTCTGCGGTGCTTGTTTTTGGGATCGTGAGCATTTGGATTATCATCGTCCGACACTCAATCTAGTGTTTCGGTTGTGTTGTCAGAAAGGAAAGGTAATGATTAATTTCTTTAAGAAAACACCTCAAGTTCTAAATCAATTGATGGATGTTAATGGCGGTCCAGAGTCTAATAATTTTCGTAAACACATTCGTTCATATAATGGGGCTTTCTCGTTTACTTCGGTTGGAGCTAAAGTTGATCCTAAGATTTTGGGTTCTCGAGGTCCATATTTGTTTGTTCTCTGTGGAGAAAATCATCATTTGATTGGGTCCCTTCTTCCCATGATTGGTCGTAAACCTAAATTTTCACAACTTTACGTGTATGATCCCGAATTTGAGATGGAAAATAGGTTAGCCAACTTTCCAACCAATGATGGTAGTGTCCTGCGACATCAGTTGGTGTCAAGACTTTCAAGTATGTTGGACGATTGTAATATCTTAGTCATGAGTTTCCGTAGAATACGAACTGAGTTGCAGGATCCTAGAAATAACGATCTGCGACTCCGAATTGTTGGTTCTAAAGAACGGTTTGGTGTACAGTATGAACTGCGAACTATGGATGAGGTGGTTGGTCTAATTCCAGGTAAGGGTGTCTTATCATTGTCTATAGTGGATGCATTTTTTCAGACTCATTGATTGTCTTCTATCTGTTTTATTTTGTTTCAGGTGATTTTTCAGTTGACAAGGATGACCATGATATTATAGTTGATCATAGGTCCAATGGGTTGCAACGTATTTCAAGTTTACATCCCAAGTTCGAAGCATTGCATTTTCCATTATTGTTTCCTTATGGCGAGGATGGATTCCATTTGAGAATGAGTTATCGTACTACTCACCGTTCCACCTCTACAAAGAGGAAGCACGTTACTCAAAGAGAGTACTACTATATTCGGTTACAGTTTCGTGTTAGCGAGGGACACACTCTTCTCCGTGGTGGAACGACTTTTCAGCATTACTATGTTGATGCATTCGCCACGATCGAGCAGAACAGGCTCACTTTTCTACGGTATCATCAAAAGCAACTTAGGACAGAATTATATAAGGGATTGCATGATGCATTTAGTAAAGGTGATCTCGATGCTAAGCATTTGGGCAGTGTGATTTTGCCAGCAACCTATATTGGAAGTCTTCGATATATGAAGCAACTATATTTAGATGCAATGGCCATATGCCAGTATTTTGGTGAGTGTTGAAATTTGCGATGGTGTATTCCTTTAATACTTATAATTTTTATGGTATACTTTTCCTATGTATATTTTTATTATAGTAGGTTGGTAACTATATTACTCACACATGTTCATTCTCAGGAAACCCCGATCTCTTTATTGCGTTCACTTGCAATGCACAGTGTCCTGAGATAACCGATGCTTTCAGTTCTGTCCTTGGTTCTAAGGGAGACGAAAAGCCACAAATTATAGCTCGTGTGTTCAATATGAAGCTGAAGATCCTCAAGGAATATATTCACAAATCATGTTGTTTTGGACGCTCGGTGGCTGGTGTGGCGTTATACTTTATTATGCCATTTTAAATTTTAGAATAAATTATCAATCTCATGTATATTGTGATGCTTACCATAAAATATCATGATTGTTGTTTTTCCATTGATATTGAACATTTAGTTTTTACTTTAATTGTTATAGTGTTTTCATAGGTATGTATACCATTGAATTTCAGAAGAGAGGTTTACCACACGTTCATATATTAATTTGGTTAAGTCAGGATTCGAAGATCAATACTGAAAGAGAATTGATGAATTTATTTTTGCCGAGATTCCTACTCCATAATTGGATCCCGTGGGATACGAAGCCGTAAAAAAGTTTATGGTTCATGGTCCCTGTGGTCATGCCAATCTAAAGTGTCCGTGCATGAGAGAAAACAAGTGCACCACATATTTTCCTAAGGACTACAATGAGCATACGTATTTTGATAAGCATGGGTCACTACAACAAAAAGCTACTTTACCGACATTCACTTAATGACAGCCACTAGGACCGTCGTTATGTGAGGAGATTGGACGGACAAATTGGCCGTTGTTTGTGACCGTCGGGATTTGGATGAAAATTCTGTCCATTTAAAATATTATTAATTAATTGCAAGTAACGATAAAGTAAATGGCACATGAGACCATGAGAGACGTGTCTCTCTTTTCCATTTTTGATTTTTTTTCTTCTTTATGATTCCTCTTGATCAGAACACGTGACTCCTTCTTTCCTTTGTATTTTTCTTTTTTACATTTGTTCTTAGAGTTATGATTTCCTATAATAAAAAACATAAAATATAAAAATTATTCCTCCTGTCTCTCTTTTCCCAGCTTCATATCTGAAAAACAAAACGGACAAAAGAAATCTCGCACTTTCCCCTTCCTCTGCGTCGACGGTGGCCAGAGTCGTCGATCGCAGCGCGCCGTCCTTCCCCGTCGGTCCCCTCTCTCTCTATTCTCCGACGACCAAAGCGATCACCCCTAGTTCTTCTGCGAGCGCTTTCCCCTTCCTCTGCCTCGACGATGGCCAGAGCCATACATTTTTCGATCGCAACCGTCCTTCCCCGTCGATCTCCTCTCACTGTATTCTCCGACGACCAACGCGATCGCCCCTAGTTCTTCGCGTTAAGAGTTCTGTGTGGAATGGGGCTTCTGGGTTTCTCTAACTCGTATTGGCATCTTCGTGGAATAGAGCTTTTGGGTTTCTGGTTCTAGAGAAGGAATTGGAATTGGAGCAGAGTTGGAGCAGAACAAGAGCAGAGTTGGAGCGTGTGGGTTTTTGGAGTCTTTGAAATCTCTCATAGAAGGAATTGGAGTAGAGTTGAATTGTGCCTAGACTTCGTCAAATTTGCAAGCCTTCAAATTTACAGGTATTTTCTTCTTCTCTCTATTTAGCCTTCTGCATTTATGGTATAACTCACTCCCCAAGGTTCAATTCATTTACGAAAGTTGATCCGCCTTGTGTGTGATGTTTGTGAAATGAATCAGAATTTTATATCGTAGTTGTGAAATTGGTGCTAGATTTCTTTCTTTGTGAAATTTTTTTGATGTATGTTACAATCATCACAAAATGCTTGCCTCTTCTTTATGATGTGCTGTGACTTTTTACTCTGTACATGTTTACACAATTTGTTAGGTGTTGTGATTCTTAAAATGGACAAGTCATGGATTAGCATGCCTCGTAATACACCAGAATATGTACAAGGATTGAATAAATTTTTGGATTTCGCATTTGAGCGTAACTCTGGCATAGATCATATACTATGCCCTTGTAGAAAGTGTGGTTTTAAGAAGTTGAAGATAAGGGATGAGGTGTTTGCCGACTTGTTACGTAGTCCCTTTCCCATTGAATACACGGTTTGGTATCGTCATGGGGAATCACGTTTAGGAGAATCCTCCCAAAGCTTACCTATTCTAGGAGAGGAGGTGCATTGCAATGCGAATCCAATGATCAACTTGGTAACGGATGCATTTAGGGCTCATGGAGATTATACTTTTGAAGATACTTCCCCTCTGCATGAACCTTTGTTTGAAGATGATATGATGTCAGACTTGAATGAAGAGTCAAATGTTGAGGCTAAAAGGTTTTGCCAACTTTTGAAAGATGGGGAAGAAGTATTGTATCCAGGATGCAAAAAGTTCACAAAATTATCATTCTTGATAAGACTGTATAACATTAAGTCTTTGTGTAGAATCACTGACAAAGCTATGTCTATGCTTATTGACTTGTTGAGTGATGCTTTCGAGTTTGCAAACATTCCCAAATCAGAATACGAGGCAAAAAAAGTCATGAGGACTCTTGGACTTTCTTATACTGAGATACATGCTTGTCCTAAGGATTGTATGTTATATTGGGGAAGTGATGCTAATAGGAAGAGTTGTAAGGTTTGCGGGAGGTCTAGATACAAGTTGATGAAGAATGATCGAGTTGGTGATAAAAAGAGGAAAGAGCAAGCAACCAAGATTTTTCGCTATTTCCCCTTAATACCTCGTTTGCAGAGGTTATTTGCTTGTTCCAAGACTGCTGAAAATATGGTTTGGCACTCAAAAGACAAAAAAAATGATGGAATAGCAAGGCATCCAAGAGATTCAGAGGCTTGGAAGAACTTTGATGTGAGATATCCCGATTTTGCTTCGGACCCTCGAAATGTGCGACTCGGTCTTGCTAGTGATGGATTCAACCCCAATGGGTCATTGGGTAACAATTACAGCATATGGCCCATTGTTCTAATCCCTTATAACAATCCTCCTTGGCTGTGTATGAAGCAAACTAACTTCATTCTTTCAGGTATCATCCCAGGGAAAAAGATGCCAGGAAATGATATAGATGTTTATATGCAACCAATGATTGAAGAGTTGAAGACCTTATGGGAGGAAGGAGTGGAGACTTATGATGCTTCAAAAAATGAAGTGTTCAAGTTGCGTGCAACTCTTATGTGGACAGTTAGTGATTTCCCCACCCTTGGAAATCTAACTGGGTGGAACATATATACAGGTTTGGCTTGTCCAACCTGTAATTTTGATGCACGTCCTCTTCGTCTTCCATGTAGTAAAAAATGGTGCTTCATGGGCAGTCGTCGCTTTTTGGATAAAGGCCACAAATTTCGCCTTAATAGGGTTCAATTTGATGGACATATTGAAGATAGGGATCCACCAAAACGTATGTCAGGATCAGAGATTTTGAAACAAGTAGAGCATGTTCATGTTACATTTGGTAAGCATACAAGTGGTAGAAAAAGAAACCGTGCTGACTTGCCTGAACAATGGAAGAAGAAGAGTATATTTTTTCAACTTTCATATTGGGAGTTCAATATGCTTCGTCACAATTTGGATGTTATGCATATAGAGAAGAATGTATGCGATAACATCATATATACTCTGCTTAATGACAAAGATAAAAGAAAGGATCATTTGAATGCTCGAAAGGATCTAATTGAATTGAATATTAGAGGTGAACTTTGGCCAAAAGAGGATGGGAAGACATGTCCTGCAGCTTTATTCACATTGAAGAAGCAAGAGATCGATGTTATGCTTGAGACATTGAAAGATATATCTGTGCCAGACGGTTATTCTAGCAACATTTCTGAATGTGTAGATTTATCTGCACGTAAGTTATCTGGTCTGAAAAGTCATGACTCACATGTTCTTCTACAAGATTTCTTACCTTTGGCAGTAAGGAATATCATGCCTATACAAGTGTCTTCACCATTGGTTGAACTCTCATCTTGTTTCAAACTCATATGTTCAAAGGTGGTAAACACTTCAGAGCTAGATAATCTTCAAAAACGAATTTCTCTATGCTTGTGTCACTTGGAAATGTTTTTCCCACCATCATTCTTTACTGTCATGGTTCACCTTGTAATCCATTTGGTTGAAGAACTCCGACTCGGCGGACCGGTCCATTATAGATGGATGTATCCTATAGAAAGGTCAAATATCTTCTTTCAATCAACATAATTCTTTCTGTCATCCTGTTTATTCTTGTACATTGGATGAATGGTGGAGTATGGTTTTTCCCTCTTTGAAGTTGGTTTTACTAGTATTACCTACTGCTACCTACACTGATTATTTTACATTCTGCTCATCATATCTTTTTATTAGGTTCCTGGGAAATTTGAAGTCACACGTTGGCAATAAAGCACGTCCTGAAGGCTCGATTGCTGAATGGTGGAGATCTGAAGAAATTATTTCATTTGCTTCATTGTATCTTGAAATGGGAGTTGAAGAAAGGTTCAATCGAGGAAGGCGTGTCAATGATAAGCTGGATGACTCACTTCAGTTATCTTCTTCTCTCTTCCCGTGCATAGGGAAACCAGTTGGTGGTGCACAACCTTTTAACTTAAGTGACTCTGAAATTTTGCAAGCAAGTAGACATGTTCTGATTAATTGCACAGCTGCAAACCGCTTCATCCAGTAAGTTTCTTGTCATCGTCTCCCCCATGGTATAATTGTTGTAAGGGATTTCGTTTCATCCAGCTCTAAACTATAGTGGTGTAAATACAGAGTGATTTTTGAAGATCATACCCTTTCTTATGCAGGGAATTTAGAGACATAACCAAGAAGAAGTTACGAAATCGGACAAGGTCAGCAAATGAAATAGATAAAGCAGTACACCGAGGAATCGTAGATTGGTTTAAAACTCGGGTCAGTGATTAATGGTTACAGAGTTAGCTTGCTTTTACATTATGTTATATTCCTTAAATGTCTTGTTTTCTTAGTGATACTAGACAGTTGGCAGTATATGATTCTTATTGAGACACTTTCTGTTGCTTGTAGATTTTAAATGATAATGTAGGGTCACATTCAAAAGATCTCAAGGCACTTGCAAGAGGCCCCATGAGAAGAGCAAGAAAGTTTTCTGCATATGACATCAACGGGTATAGATTCCGGACCTTAGTCCGAGAACAGCTTTCAAAGACAAGCAATAGTGGTGTGTTTGGCAGCTTTGGCACCAACAGCTATGCAAGCTCAAGTGATATGAGACCAGTTCAAGGTTTAGTGCCATACTATGGTAGATTGGTTGACATCATTGAGCTGAATTATTACGGTAATTTTTCTGTCACTTTGTTCAAGTGTGAATGGGCCAATACCATCAATCCTAGATGTATGAAGAAAGATGCATTAGGCTTCACGTCAATCAACTTCTCCCACTTGATTCATACCGGTGATCGAGATGATGATGAACCATTCATCAAGGCTGATGAAGCCCAAATGGTTTATTATGTGGAGGACAAAATGGATAAAGGATGGAGTATCCCTGTACATATCAAACCAAGAGATCTGTACGACATGGGTTCCATGGAGGGGGATACAGTTTATGAGAGTGAGGCATTTCCATATCAAGACTTAGCTAGTACATGGGTTGATGGCAGTTCACAAGTGCAATTGTCAAGACTTGGTGTGGAAGTAGAGTTTGAGTGATAAAATTTGGTAGTTTGATTTCATTCACCTTTGCTGGATTTTTTGGTTGCTTGATTTTTTTTCTCTTGTGATATTGTGTATGAATCTGCTGTTGCATATTATGATATTGTGTATGAATCTCTTGGGATTTAAAGGTTTTTTTTTTTTGCGGGAGAGCTATGGGGTTGCATATGCACACAGGTTTTTTAAGGCTCTTTGTTCTATGACTTTCTTCAGTATATAATGGCTTGTTCTGGGGTTTCTTTGGGCTTGCAAAGGGGTTTCTCGATTTAAGAAGGATGGGGAGAGGATGACTTGTGAAAAAGAACGAGTAATGGGTCTAAAAGCTCTACAAGCCCAAGAAACTAATAATATTAATTTATTAGGTTCTGTATTTTTAGTTTCTGAATTCGAAATATAAAAAACGACAACCTTATCCAAAGCTAAAAAAACGATTCAGATCTCCCTCACTCATCCCGACTGAAATCGCGATTCCTCTCTCTGGCTGAAATCGCGATTCACGATCTCCCTCGCTCACTCCGGCTGCCAGTTCTCCGACTTCCCTCACTCACTCCGGCCGCCAGTTCTCCGTTATCCCTCTCACAATCCGGTGTCAGTTCTCCGATCCTCCCTCGCTCACTCTGGTGTCAGTTGTCCGATCTTCCTCGCTCGCTCCGTTATTGACAGGCGATTGTCCGATATCGCTCGCTCGCTCCGGTTGAAAGGTGAATCTTCTCGTCTCTCTCTCTCTCTCTCTCTCTCTCTCTCTCTCTCTCCATGGCTCGCTCTCTGATTTCCTCACTTGCACTAGCGAGCTCATTCTAGTTAGGTTACAGATCTGCCTTAGCTTCGCATATATGTGTTCCTGTTTGCCTGAGAAACCAGCATATCTGCCTTAGCACACCTTAACACATAAACTCAAACATAGGCTTACCAGAACATAGAAGACATAGAGGCTCAATAAACTCCTGTTTTGAAGGAAGGAATTCAATAGCAGGAGCACACCTTAACACTACACTGAACATTTATATTGTTGTCAGAAGCTCAAGAACTCTCTCATATTTCACCTGCAAAAGAAAAAGAGCGTCATGGGAATGAAACGATTAGGGGAACTAGGAAATTTGCAGCACACCTGTGTATTTCATTTACAGCCTTAACAGGAAGCTAACAAAACACTGCATGATGATTTTTACCCTCAGCAGAACCTTACGAAAGATTCAGATTCACCAAAATGTTAGTAAATGTTCTCTAAATTGACACATTTCTTTTAGCTACCAGACAATAGTTATATCATTTTTGCCTCATTACCTACCTTTCCAATTGGGTAATTAAGTGTTTATCATTGACATGCTTGTAGTCCCTGCCAAGAAAAAGACACAGCTATTAGAGTGCTAGCTAGAACGAGGAGAAATACATATGCTAATTAGTTATACACAACTGAATTTAAAAGTAGCAATGATTACCACCAAATTAAGAATGATAATTTAGTTCATGCATATCCAGGACAACTATTTGGAGCAAGAATTCAACTGACATCATTGATGATAAAATGAATCATCAAAACTTTTGATTCAAAAGCATCTTCCTCGCTCTGCTTGAATGACAGGGTGTGTAAGAAGTCAAAAACAGGGCCGATTCCAGAATTTCAATGATTAAAATTATAGATTAATCACCTTCTCTAATCTCTTAAGTTCATAATTTGGACCTACCATCGCATATATGTGTTAAGGTTTGCTCCTGCTATTGAATTCCTTCCCTCAAAACAGCAGTTTATTGAGCCTCTATGTCTTCTATGTTCCGGTAAGCCTATTGAGAAGGAAACTTGTGCTTTGTACTGTGAGTGTGAGTTATATATTAGTTGTAGGTACTCATAGACCATACTGTAAAGGAGTCTAATGAATATTCCATGGTTATATTCTTGATTTTCAGGAATGACAACTACCGATAAAGCTAGTCATAGACCATATTGGAAAGTTCAGGTTATAGGTAAGATGTATTAGAACCTTTTCTTGATTCTAAAGCTGCAGAGATATGTGTTTCTGGACTTATATGATATTGTGGTTTTATGGAATAGTTACTTTTATATTTTACCCAACTGTTTCAAGTTAAGTCGAGTTGTTTGTTGGCTTACTGCAGCTTGTTTATATTTTCCTTTGCTTCTCAGATTCTGAGGGACAGAGGTCCATGGCACATCTACATGCACAGGATGTGTGGTATCTCCCACAGGGCACCAAGTTTGTGGTGCCATTTGTAAGGAACCAGCCTGTTCATGATGGTGGTGGACTACTTGGACAATTTTTGGGACTCTTAGCTAGGGACGTTAACTATTTTCCTATAAGCTTTGATAGTTGGCTTGATGTTCCTTCTAGCTATAAGAATGAAGTCCTCCATGGTATAATTGCTGTAAGTATTGTTTTTTTGTAATTCTTTGATTTAATTATGAGTTGTTTTCTACTTGTTGGTCTGGATATTTAAGTACTAAATCTTTGATGTTTGTAGGACAAAGTTTTTGTTGAGCCTAGCCACAGAGATAGGGCATACAAGTACATTTTGAGTAGCTTAGGCAGCAAATGGAAGGGGCATAGGTATGAACTTTACAAACACAAGTACAAGCGTATATGGACAAGAGAGCAAAATATCAACAAACCTCCTGAAGGGATTCCCAAAGAACAATGGGCTAGTTTCATCGACTATCGCCAAAGAAAGACCACTCAGGTGTTGTGTTGTTGTTTTATTTCCTACAAGTGGGATTTTTGGATTTATTTTCCATGATAGGAGGTTAATCAGTATTCTGTATTTTTTTTATTGAAGGATATGTCAATAAGGAATACAAGAAATAGGGGTGAATATCAGCTTAATCACACAGGAGGCTCAAAGTCCATTGCTAGGAAAACTACTGAGATGGTATGTTCATAGATGTTTCTTGCATTTTGCTAAAGAATCAAAATATTTAAGGTGCTTACATTTTTCTGGTTGGATTATATAGAGTGAGTCAACTGGGCAGGAGGTTTCAAGAGGACAAGTTTTCGTTGAGACTCACAAAAGGCCAGATGGATCATATTTGAATCCCAAGACCAGAGATGTTTGTGTAAGAACATTTTCCCTTCTACTTTTCTGGTGATGATGTTTGTTTTCATGTTTTTATGAACACGGAAAGGAAAAAGGCAGCAGCTGTTGGTGCTTATGCTTTGATAGATAATATAGGCAGAGTTTGTTTTTAGGATTTTATGAACACGGAAAGGAAAAAGGCAGCAGCTGCTGGTGCTTATGCTTTGATAGATAATATAGGCAGAGTTTGTTTTTAGGTTTTTATGAACACGGAAAGGAAAAAGGCAGCAGCTGCTGGTGCTTATGCTTTGATAGATAATATAGGTAGAGGCAGGATCTAAACTAATATTTTTGGTGAACATTGGTGTAGGAAAAAATTGCTGAACTTGAAGCAACAGGTGCTATGCCAAAGCAAGCAGCACCTAATGATTCTTTAGGCCAAGTTTTGGGCAAAGAACATTCAGGTAGGATGCGTGGTATGGGGGCTGGTGTTGTTCTGTCTGAGTCCTTTGGTTCTAGCTCGTCTGAATATGTCGGAGAATCATCACATGCTGATTTTGGAAGTGAGCAAATTTTGTGGTCTAAGTTACAACAAAGCTTGAAGAAGAATGAGAAGTATGAAGAGTGGTTTGTCAAGATTTTTCAGCACATGAATGTCCCTATGCCATTGGAGCTGGCTATGTTAGTAGAACAAGTAAGTTGTTATTTTGAATGTAAGAACATTCAGAGGAAATTGTGAGTTTATGCCTTTTAACTGATTTTTTGTTGTATATTTTTCACTTTTCAGCATCCTCTTGACTCCACTGGTCAGCATTCTGGCCACTCTTCGACTAGCGGTCCGAGACAGCAGGAGTAGCACTCCTTAACAGGTACTACTGACTCAAGAAATTGAGGGAAAAAGGCTTTTTTCTTCTTAAATGAGTGCATTACGAAAGCAAGCTCAGCTTCTTCAACCATCCGAATAGCTTCAGTTTCGATACCACTCCAACCTAGGCAAAATGATCAGTGAAGACTAATCTCATGTTCGTTTTTCTCTTTCTGGTGTTTCAGGATTTTGTTCTTCATTCAACAAACCTCCTGTCATGAAAGGTTAGCATCTAGTTCTTGGATTTCGCTTATCTGAACCAAAATTTCGGCTGTTTCTTTTATGAGATCCTAGTCCTTAAGTTGTGCTAGGAATAAAGGGGTAGAAAAGGGTGATGCAGAAGTTGCAAGTTAATGAGAACTTAGTTTGAAATGATCTGTAATTATGGATTTGTGACTGGATCTTTGTTGTTGTTTTGTTGATTTACAGGGCTGCAAGTTGATGAAGGGCTGCAGGGGTAAACTCAGTTTTTAGTTTGAAATAGTATTGAACTTTAGATTGTAGGCTTTGAACTTTTGTAAGTGGTTTGACTGATTTACAATTCTGGATTTGAGGGATTTGATGGTACTTTTGTAAGGATTGATGGTTTGATTTACAATTCAAAGGGCTATGAATGGATTTACAATTCTTGATTTGTGATTATTAGAGTAGTGTATTGATGATTTGATGTTTAGAAAATGATTTGTGATCATTAGAGTACTCGAAAATCACAGCAGGCTAGGGCTGTTATTATTAGGGAAGGTGGCCCCTTAAAATACTGTAGCTTTTAGCGACGGTTTCTAACTTTTAGTGACGGTCGGATACTGTCGCTAAATAATTTTAACAATTGCAGGGTCATTTATTTGACGACGGTTGTCAGGAAAATTACGTCGGTTACCACCGTCGTTAAACTTTGGCGACGGTCAGGGCGACGGTCGACCAAAACCGTCGCTATAAAATTTAAGGACGGCGAGGTCAGCGACGGTTGGCTGTCCGTCATTAAATATTTTAGCGACGGTTTTGACCGTCGCTAAAAGTCCGTTTAACCGTCGCTAAATCACTGTTTTGTTGTAGTGGGTATGTTATATATCGACGAAGGAACTTAGTTGTAACTTTTGATAAGTCAGGGATATTGCTTGGCAATAATTGCCTGGTCCCTTATAATCGACGATTACTCGTGAAATTTCAGGCTCATATTAACGTTGAAGTGTGTCATCTTGCTACAAGTTTTGTGATCTTATTGAAGTTCCTCTTGCTAGTCCAGACTATAGGCCATTTGGAGGTAAAACTATTGTTTTCGACAAACTTTACCAGTGGTGCGGGGTGTGACGATACAATCTCTGCATCGATTACTAAGTCCATCTTATGGGATCATTGTCATCTTCTTTGCCTACGCCAGAACATGCGCGTCAACACTGATCCTATCAATATGGAACCTATATTCAACAGTATGTGTTTCTCTGATTGGGTGTTGTCTTTGGGAGATGGTACGGCTCAAGTCTATAGTTTCAATGGAAAGGTATTTGTGGACTGGGTTAAAATTCAAGAATTTTTCCTCGTGTCCTGTCGCAAGCATGTGCAACGAAATATACGGAGATTTCCTCCATAACTTTCGGAATGCAAGTTATTTGAACAGCCATGCTATAGTGACACCGACAAACCGAACGGTGACGGATATTAACGAGTATATGCTGGTGATGGTTCCATCCGTCGCCAAAACGTATTATAGCGTAGACTCTTTGACGAGATCATCTACAGAAAGTGATCAGCTTGATATTGTATACCCTGTGGAGTTTCTAAATTCTTTGTCGTTTAATGGTCTTCCGAAGCATCGTTTGGAGCTTAAGTATTTTGTACCTATCATGCTGCTACGAAATCTAAACCCAACTGGAGAACTATGCAACGGGGCGCGTATCATTATTACTTATCTCGCGGCTAACGTCGTTAAAGGTATTATTATAGGAGGAAGTTTTCGGAACTCTGTTGTTGCTATTCTACGAATAGTTTTGACGATTTCTGATGTGAGGTGGCCTTTCGTGTTGAAACGGAGACAGTTTCCATTGCAAATTTGTTATGCGATGACGATCAACAAGAGTCAAGGTCAAACTATGGATCTTGTTGGAATATTTTTACCAAAGCCTGTGTTTAGTCATGGTCAGCTTTATGTTGCTGCTTCCAGAGTGAAATCTACTAAGGATTTGTGTATATTGATTAAGCCAGCAGATAACGTTTCGTATGGATATACTATAAATATGGTGTACGATGAGAAATACGAGGATCTTAAGAAATTCCAGTATTGTGTTGTAAATAAAAAGATTTGCCATTTTATTTGACTCTTCCGCTACAATGTTATCTTACAATTTCCACATTTTGTGTTATATGCTTGTTTTGTTGTTGTGTTGTTTTCCCTCTTAATCTCGTTAATAGTTGTGGATCTTAATTGATGTACTTGATCTTTAATATGCTTACTAGTATTTTGGCCCGCGCTCCATCGCGGCAAGAAACTAATAATTTCGTTTAAATCAAATAATTCACAAAATTATTTAGATATGATATATCTGTAAGTTTCACGTGATGTCTTAATCATTATGTAATAACATACATAATTCGTTTGTTTAAGTGATACATAATAAATAACTATTTCTACATAAGATTTACGTAGTGTTTAATCACTATAGAATTTAGATAAGATACATATGTAAGTTTCACGTGATTACTTAATCATTATGAATGACAAACATAATTCGTTTGTTTAAGTGATAGATAGTAAATAACTATTTCTACATAAGATTTACGTGGTGTTTAATCACTATAGAAAACTTACATATTGTTTTTTTAATTGATAAATTATTATTTGTCCATAATTTTATGTAGTGTCTTAATCATTAATGTGTGGTCTAATAATAAAATAAACTGTTAGAAAGTAAAATGAAAGTAATATACGATTAAATTATTTTTAATTTACGCTATTATATAAAACGTTGTTACATAAATCTTCCGTAACATGGTCTAATAACAAAGTCAAATTATGATAAGTATCATAATCAATTGAACTATTATATGGAAGTTAACCTACATTATCAAACCATTGCATAATGCAATGATGAGATGATTAATGGTGTAGTAAATAATAAATGAATATTCTTTCAAACTTATATTTCGGAAGACTTAGGTAATTTATTTATTTAATTAATTCTAAGGAGTTGGCATAGTGGTAAAGTAAGGATGAGAACATCCACCACATCATAGGTTCGAATTTTCATATTAAAAACCAACGAAAAAATGTTCTTTAATTGATACTTAAGAAATGACTATCTCTCTATAAGTTCTACATAATATTTAAATATTATGGAAGACTTACTTAATTAGTTTTGCTTAAACAATACATAAGGAATTAATATCCCCTAGGGTGGCTCAAAATGCCCTTTCATTGTTTCCTGCTATTATTGGTGGATTTGATTTTTTCGCTTGGCTCTATTTGGAGTTGTAAACGTTTCTGATCTTCTGATTTCTTGGTAATGCAAGCTATCTTTTGTTAAAAAGAATATCCCCCAATAAGTTTTAGATAATGTATTCATAATTTATCCTCCATAAGTCTTAGGTAATGTATTTGCAATACTTAAATCTTTCGTGGTGTACGTGTAATTTTTTTTTTAAACAAAAAATACCTACACAGAAGACTGTAGGAGGAAAATGATTTATTGGTGAAATTGGGTTTAGATTTGAACAAAAAGTTACGTAGACAATTGGCTATAGGGACAAATGTCTTCATAAAATTGAGTATAGGGAAAATGATTCATTGGTGAAATTGGGTGTAAGGATTTGGGGAAAAAAATTACGTAGACAACTGACTATAGGGAAAAAATTATTATTACCAAAAAAAAAAGGAAAAAAATTACGTAGACAACTGACTATAGAGGAAAATGTCTTCGTATAGAGGGTAAAAATCAATGTGACAACACGTGTAAGGCTGTTACGTAGACAACTGACTATAGAAAAAAATGTCTTCATAAAATTTAGTATAGATGATAAAACTCAATGTAAACACCACTCCCTAGAAAAAGATGTAATATTACCTCTTAGGAACATTGGTTTTAACTTTTCCCAACTAACCGTGAATTTTAGTACTGGAATCAAAATAAACAATTTATTAATCCTTTGAAAATTACCGTGAATCTGGTTACAGGTGATTAACACTTTTGTGAACAGTGTTTCAAATAAGTTATTGGCCAGCCGTGAGGATACTTACCACCTACACTTTTGTTAAAAAGAATATCCCCCAATAAGTTTTAGATAATGTATTCATAATTTATCCTCCATAAGTCTTAGGTAATGTATTTGCAATACTTAAATCTTTCGTGGTGTACGTGTAATTTTTTTTTAAAACAAAAAATACCTACACAGAAGACTGTAGGAGGAAAATGATTTATTGGTGAAATTGGGTTTACAGATTTGAACAAAAAGTACGTAGACAATTGGCTATAGGGACAAATGTCTTCATAAAATTGAGTATAGGGAAAATGATTCATTGGTGAAATTGGGTGTAAGGATTTGGGGAAAAAATTACGTAGACAACTGACTATAGGGAAAAAATTATTATTACCAAAAAAAAAGGAAAAAAATTACGTAGACAACTGACTATAGAGGAAAATGTCTTCGTATAGAGGGTAAAAATCAATGTGACAACACGTGTAAGGCTGTTACGTAGACAACTGACTATAGAAAAAAATGTCTTCATAAAATTTAGTATAGATGATAAAACTCAATGTAAACACCACTCCCTAGAAAAAGATGTAATATTACCTCTTAGGAACATTGGTTTTAACTTTTCCCAACTAACCGTGAATTTTAGTACTGGAATCAAAATAAACAATTTATTAATCCTTTGAAAATTACCGTGAATCTGGTTACAGGTGATTAACACTTTTGTGAACAGTGTTTCAAATAAGTTATTGGCCAGCCGTGAGGATACTTACCACCTACACTTTTGTTAAAAAGAATATCCCCCAATAAGTTTTAGATAATGTATTCATAATTTATCCTCCATAAGTCTTAGGTAATGTATTTGCAATACTTAAATCTTTCGTGGTGTACGTGTAATTTTTTTTTAAAACAAAAAATACCTACACAGAAGACTGTAGGAGGAAAATGATTTATTGGTGAAATTGGGTTTACAGATTTGAACAAAAAGTTACGTAGACAATTGGCTATAGGGACAAATGTCTTCATAAAATTGAGTATAGGGAAAATGATTCATTGGTGAAATTGGGTGTAAGGATTTGGGGAAAAAATTACGTAGACAACTGACTATAGGGAAAAAATTATTATTACCAAAAAAAAGGAAAAAAATTACGTAGACAACTGACTATAGAGGAAAATGTCTTCGTATAGAGGGTAAAAATCAATGTGACAACACGTGTAAGGCTGTTACGTAGACAACTGACTATAGAAAAAAATGTCTTCATAAAATTTAGTATAGATGATAAAACTCAATGTAAACACCACTCCCAAGAAAAAGATGTAATATTACCTCTTAGGAACATTGGTTTTAACTTTTCCCAACTAACCGTGAATTTTAGTACTGGAATCAAAATAAACAATTTATTAATCCTTTGACAATTACCGTGAATCTGGTTACAGGTGATTAACACTTTTGTGAACAGTGTTTCAAATAAGTTATTGGCCAGCCGTGAGGATACTTACCACCTACACTTTTGTTAAAAAGAATATCCCCCAATAAGTTTTAGATAATGTATTCATAATTTATCCTCCATAAGTCTTAGGTAATGTATTTTCAATACTTAAATCTTTCGTGGTGTACGTGTAATTTTTTTTTAAAACAAAAAATACCTACACAGAAGACTGTAGGAGGAAAATGATTTATTGGTGAAATTGGGTATACAGATTTGAACAAAAAGTTACGTAGACAATTGGCTATAGGGACAAATGTCTTCATAAAATTGAGTATAGGGAAAATGATTCATTGGTGAAATTGGGTGTAAGGATTTGGGGAAAAAATTACGTAGACAACTGACTATAGGGAAAAAATTATTATTACCAAAAAATAAGGAAAAAAATTACGTAGACAACTGACTATAGAGGAAAATGTCTTCGTATAGAGGGTAAAAATCAATGTGACAACACGTGTAAGGCTGTTACGTAGACAACTGACTATAGAAAAAAATGTCTTCATAAAATGTAGTATAGATGATAAAACTCAATGTAAACACCACTCCCTAGAAAAAGATGTAATATTACCTCTTAGGAACATTGGTTTTAACTTTTCCCAACTAACCATGAATTTTAGTACTGGAATCAAAATAAACAATTTATTAATCCTTTGAAAATTACCGTGAATCTGGTTACAGGTGATTAACACTTTTGTGAACAGTGTTTCAAATAAGCTATTGGCCAGCCGTGAGGATACTTACCACCTACCCATAATTAAAGCATCATTTCCTTGCGATAATATCGTAAGGAACAGTAAAATAGACTTGCACTTTTAATTGGTTTATTAATCCTTTGAAAATTACCGTGAATCTGGTTACAGGTGATTAACACTTTTGTGAACAGTGTTTCAAATAAGCTATTGGCCAGCCGTGAGGATACTTACCACCTACCCATAATTAAAGCATCATTTCCTTGCGATAATATCGTAAGGAACAGTAAAATAGACTTGCACTTTTAATTGATTGATTGATTAGGATTTTTTATTTTAATACGAAACTTGTATGTCTTTTAGATTAAAAACCAAAATTACGCTGGATGGTTCGATGACATACTTGTGTATATAAACAATCGGACTCCGCAAGTATCCGTTATTGGATATCAACGAAGAGATTTTCGAGTGTAAATGGAAAGTCAAAATAAGTAAACCAGTTCATAGTTTGATCCCGCGTGAAGGGAGTTGTAACACAATCTTAGAACGCCCATAACACGAGCAATTCTACTATGCTATATAGTATTGGTGCTTTAATGTACAATTTAAAATTGTACCATAATATTAAATGTATAAGTTTAGGTTGTACCATTATGTTATGGTACAACTTTACAACTTGAAGTTGTACTATCACACAAAGGTACAAGTTCAAGTCGTACCATAAAAGAATTTGTACAAAAAGTATAGGTACAATCTAAAGTTGTACCATAACGTAAATGTACAAATTTAAATTGTACCATAAAGGCAAGACCCTATAGCACCAATACAGTATAGCATTGTAAAATTTCTCCCATAACATATGGATGAAAATATATTATACATGTATGGTATATTATACATGCGATAACGTCCAAAAAGCAAGGAATCTATTGATAGTATAATTGAGTGTATGTTTTTTTGGAGCTTATCGGCACTCACGGTTTACATTGCTCATTATCACCATGGTTAGTAAAATACGATACGGGAAAGTTACATATAAAATACGTACAGATATTTTACCTTGTCGCTGAGCTAATGTTACGTTCAATAGTACGTTAATAATTGTAAATATGTATAATTAGTTTTTCAAAATAAATAAATATATAAATAATAGTAAGTTAACAATTTAATTCATTAAATGCGGATATTAAACGTGATATACGAGTTTTATATGTGTTTAGTACCGGAACCATCAAATGAACAGAGAAAAATGAAACGGCTTGACAATAATATAGGTACAGAAGTTTTAAACGAATAAAATACGTACGGGTACATATACGTGTATTAAATAGAGTATTTACTAACAATGAGTATCACTTGCATGCATGTTGAATTAATTTGACCTTCCGTTTATTTTTTGCTTTTTTAATACAGTAATTAAATTTGTAAGAGAGGGTAAAAAAATAGTATTATAAAGATATGTTTAAAGCGAGAGGAATTACATACAGTGAGTTGTTCCAAGTAGTCAGAATCAAATTGACGTGGGTCAGCTTGGGAAGGTAGAACGTAATAATGCGTAAAAGAACAAAATATCCATTATTATGACAAGCCTGTTGGATACTGTGTAAAATCAATGTGGGTCTTCCGATTTGATATCGATCTACTAAGATCAAGGTTGTCAAACCGGTTTAAGTCATTGAGCCGGTCAAGCAATGTGTTTGAGGTTTAATGGTCTGATCGGGGTCCGGCCGGTTTGAGCCGTTTTAGACGTTTTCTAAATATATATACAAATGAAGTAGTAATTAAAAATTTAATGAGTGAAATAAAATTTATCTTACATATATCTATTAAAAACTTATTTTCAACAAAATAAATCTACCTAATCTCCATGATCCACCTACCATTTCCCTTCCTTCGTTCCTTTTCCTCTCTTCTGCCTCTCTTCTTCTCCCTGTTTAGGGGTCAGACCGGGGGGTTTTCTGGAGGCCATTTTGAAGCCCGACTCGGGTTGAACCGGGTCCAACCGGGGGGTTCGATAGGGGTTTAACAACCTTGACTAAGATACGAAACTTGCCTACTATTAGGCTCCATGTGTTCCTTATAAGATGGTCTTTATTGTGCGTTGCTTACAAAAGAAGAAAGCTATTTGTATCAAAGGATGTCCCATATGGGTATGATTGCCTGAATATGTACTGTTGTTTGCTTACACTGTATAGGTGGTCCGATTCTATGTACATTGACATGACTACTGACTAATAATCAATTTTCAAGAATTTTTTGAATAACTATTTATTATTTGTTATTGTGTTTCCTATGAAATTGACTTTTATATAACTTGAATTCATTAAATATGCAATAAGATTTTTATACACTGTTTATGTGATTTCATGTATATTGCCGTCGTTACCGACTAACAATTTTTTTAACAACTATCCAAATTTTTGTTCTTCTGGTTTTAAGTCATGACGCGGAGTTGTAGCTTTGCCTTTTAAGTCATGACTTGGACTTCCCAAATACTATTTGGATCCAGGAGGAATGTGCATTGTTATTTACTACACTATGTAAGTGGTTATTTGTTCTGTATTGTCAAGTTTACCGACTGAAACAATGATGTTTATTAAGTACTGTGTATGGACATGTGGCACTATTTCATTTTGGTTGTAAACTTGTAGTCATGTGTCGTCCATGCAAATATATATATAAAAAAAGAAAATGCAATATTTATATTGGTCTAATTCATTATTGTAAATGATATTTTGGAGAAGTAAGGTTTCTTTTTACCTTGGATTGGACGTCCATGACATGGTCACAATTTGCACGTATGTTTGAACAATAGTTGGATTTCATAAATATGTACCCGACTAATTGCCAGTCGGTCGACAGGGGGAATCTGGAGGCAGCTCGGATAAAGAGTTACATAATATTACGTTTGCTCTTACAAAATACTTAATTAAACTAATGGAAAGTCGCGTTTGCTGTAACCAAACGTTATATTTGTTTTATGTTTTATCCTGATAACACCTGTTATTTCCTTAAAAACTATCGAGTAAGCATCCCATTAAGCTTTTGAAGTCGAGCCTTTATTTATATGGCCTTCTCGTATGCATGATTAATGATATCCCCTCTTTCTCCCACGTATAGTCTGCCGCACCTGAATATGTCAACTGGAACTCCCACTCCCTTCACACTCGATACTCCTGGTCATAGTAAGAATGATCAGCAGAATCCTCAGGTATTATGCCACTGTGGTCTCCGAGTGAAAGTGAAGCTAGAAGTCGATGACAGGGGTGAGCATTTGAATTGTGTTTTCCCCGCCGAGAAAGAACAAGTGGTATTAGTTTTCAAACTCATCCTTTTTGTATATGCTATGTTGTGCATATATTCCATTAGAAATGCGTAACTCTATTAGGGCTGGTAAACGGTATTACGGTTAACGGTTTAACCGGTAACCGTACCGATAATCGCGGTTACCGGTTAAACCGTTAACCGTTCCAAACGGTATTCGGCCATGGAAATTAAGCTGGCGGTATACCGAGATAAGGACGGTAAAACACCGTCGGCATACCGGTATTCCGATACCGATTGGAAAAGACATCAAGCCATCAATCAACCAAACGTCGGCCGCCCTAGCACCTAAGTAATTAACCTAGTCGGCTAATCCTAGTTGTAATTAGGAATTAGAAAACTAAAGTAAATCAAGCCATCTCTCTCCCGTCTCCCCTGCCGGCCGCTCGACGAGTCACGCCAATCTAACGCCGCCGATCAAAACCAGCGGTATCTTCGTCGTCCCCCGTCGCCGGCGCAAGCTGCATCCAAGAAACACGACCCAACAGCCCAGGGTGCATCATTCTCTCCGCCAAGCTCTGTTTCCATCAAGGCCTCGCCGTTGCCCTGTTCCCATCTCCGTCCCGTCGGAACTTATTCCCTCGACCCCACAGCCCAATAGAATAGACAGCAGTTCCAGTTCGTCTTAAGTCTCATCGTCGATTTGTGAATTGTGATTCGTTTGGAATTATAGCTAGTAACTTTTACCTAGCTTGATTGATGATTCGTTTGATTTCTTTGTTTGGTGCTCTGGTCCTTTATCTTTTTCACTTTTTGGCATTTTCCTATCAAGAGAGATGGACACATTGCCACGTTGGAAGCAGAACCATGTGATTCTGTGATTTCTTTCTAGTTTGGTTCCTTTATAATTTTGTTTGCCATTTTCTTGTGAGAGAGGGAGAGGTGGCCGCTTGGACCCAATTCCCCAAATAAGAAAAATAAAGGAAGACAGTACACAGTCGGCAAAATTGTTTCTCTGTCAGTAACCCCAGTACCCCATCGAAAAGCAGGGGACAGTCTTGCCGCACCGTAGCACAAAATTTCCGCAGCCAAAGGCACTTTCGGTTAAACGGGAAACCGGTGCAAATACCGTAACCGTCCCATTCGGTAAACGGTGTACCGAAATAAATTAGTAGCGGTACACGGCAACGGCAATAGGAGATCCGGTATACTGGTAACCGGTCAAACGGTAACCGGTTAAACCGGTTACCGACCGATTACCACCCCTCTATTATGTCGTCAGAATTGTTTCTTCTCTTTACTGGGTGATCATCTGTAGGGCATTTGTTCGAATGAATATCTGCAACCCCTTGCTGTGGACGACCAAACTGAAGGTGAAGATTTTGAGGACTCAACCTCCCAGTGGTCACAGTGCTCAGAGTCGGAGGATGACAACACTGAAGAAGGATTCAACATCGACTGGCATGGCCCTTAGTTCGGATCATTGCGTGTCTAATGCTTCAATAAAGTTGCGTTTGTTTTGATCTTGGTTGTCTAATGCTTCAATAAACAAGTATAACTATTATAAGAATAAGTTGGACTTGATTATATGGAACATTTTGCGTACGTATTTATCTATCTAAACTTACTGAATTACGATCGAATTGGTGATATACGTGTACCAATGGTAACAATTGTTTAACAAGTTCCATATAGGTGAAAGGAAGGCTGCACGAAGCAATATGTTGAGTTTACACGATACATTCACGTCAGGTGTCATTACCTTACCTGCCAAAACAATGTGATCGTAATATCCAATTTGGATTTACCAAAGTGGTTCTTAATTTACTGGGTATCCCAATGAACCCTTGGTATTACTTAAACGTATGTATACTAATTTGGAAATGTATGTAAAACAAATACAGCTCGCTTCACTGTTGACGGTAAGCCTTTCATAGGTAAATTCTTGGCTTGTCGGGAAATATAATACTTTGCGTATTCGGCGACGTGTTTTGTTTAATGTCGTTGATTCGATGTCGGACAATAAAATATTCAATATGTGACTACAGCAGTTGTTGGGCATACAGTACTTATTCCTATAGGGTAAATTGCAAGTTTGGTCACTCGATTTACTAAAAAGTTTCACGTTTGTCACTAAAATTAGTTTATTCCATTCATGGTCAATAAAATTAGTTCAACAGTTCAAGTTGGTCACTCCCCTTTAGTGTTCGTTAATTTTCACTGATGTGGCAGTCAACTCAGATAGTTGACCGTTAAATGTGTGACGTGGAAATTAAAAAATAATAAAATAAATATTTTCAATTTTCAACTTCATTATTCCAACCCATACAAAAATTTAAAAAATTAAACTAATTTATTTTTAGCCCTCACCACCATTACATCACACTCGTCGGGGGCGACGGCAGCCCTGGCCACCGTTGCAACTGTGCGCTCTCCTTAAGCTTGCCGGTAATTGCCAATTTGTTTACCTCCCGGGAGAATATGAAATTGGGAACTACAGAATCCGAATCGGAATAGAAATCGGAATTCAACTAGGTTTCCGTTTAAGAAGAGATTGCAACACAAGAAGAAAGATGGAGGAAACTGGCCGCAACACTCCGCCTCCTCCGCATCGGAGAGCCAGAGCTTCGCGCCTCTGTCGCCTCAGCTGTCGGACTGGTGAGAGGAGATAGGTGTTATGCATCAGCTGTGGTGGCGGCCGTCACAGAACTGGAGTCCCTGTCAACCAAGTGAAGAGGTCAAGTTGCAGAGGAGTCCTGATGCTATCCAGATTACGAGGAAGGAGAAGGAGTTTCACCAGAGAAACGTTTCAGAAGAAGTTTTTATTTGAAGTTGATTTTATATGTTGAACGTTGTCGTTTTGCTTAGGCTTAATAGCCGTTGTTAAGAACTGTTTACATTTTGCAATGGCCAATGGCATTTTGCCACTTGGCTAACTCTATAGTGATTCTATTTTATCAGAACACAGTAGTATATATTGGAATCAAAGGCAACTCCATAGCTTTTGAGGGTTTGCCAATTCTCCAAACCTAGAAGGCTTTTATGGTATCAGAGCGGTCAAGCAGCTAGGGCAACCATGAACATGCCGTCGGGTTCCCAGGGTCTCCCAAATTCATCATCGGGAAACACGTCTCAAGGAGCTCAAGCGGGAAATGGGTTTGGTCCTCATGCTTTCCAATTTGGGTTGTTTGATGAGCAGCAACAACAACAACTATTTGGTGGAGCCAGAAACGATGTCATAACCTTCGGTAATCCTTACTACCTAAACCCAAATGAAGCCTTAAATCAATCTATAGGATCTGAGGTTTTTCATGGTAGTAACTACACTATGCGGAGTCGTTCTGTGATAATGGGCCTGAAGATAAAGCACAAGTTGGGTTTTGTTGATGGTACTATACCCATGCCAGCTAGAACAGATCCTAATTTCTTATTGTGGGATGGTTGTAATACTGCTATGCTGTCATGGATACTTAACTCCCTGAACAAGGATTTAAGGAGATCTGTAATGAGTCATGTGAATGCTAGAGTTTTGTGGGATGAATTGAAGAGGAGATATGGGAAACCAAATGCCACCAGAATAACAAATCTGGAGGATGATATTCACAAGTGTAAGCAGGGCACTCAAACCATTAACCAATACTACACTGAAATTAAAGGGTTATGGGAGGAGTACATGCAGTTCAATCCTATTGTGCCCTGCAATTGTGCTCCAGGAAACCCAAATCCATGTGATGAAGTGGTAGCTTACACTGAGAGACAAGAAGCTGACTACCTAATTCGATTCCTAAGGGGTTTTAACCCAGACTTTGAGGTAATCAAGAGTCAATTGCTTGCACAGAAGTCGTTGCCTACTGTGTTAGAAGCAGTTGATGATCTGCTACAATATGAGCAGAAATTGAAGGCTGAGAAGGGAAGTACTGGAAAGAAGGCTCAGAGTGTTGCTTTAGCAGCAGGGAACCAACCTCAAGAATCAGGACAAAGGAGTCAGGGAAGGAAATATTGCATTTACTACAAAAGGCCTGGCCATGTGGTTGATGAATGTTGGAGGGCTAAGAGAAAGAAAGATGCTGATAATGGTAGCAGCTCTGGAGGATCCAATACACCAAAGTTTGCAGGGTCAGTCTCTCAAGCAAGTTCAAGAGACTCATCAACAGAGGTGAGTTATAACAGTGACACACCAGATGGTAGTCCTGTGAGTCCAGCAAAGGTAGTGGCAGCCTTTACTCCTGAAGAGGTTAACAGACTTAGGCAAATGATGCAAACTGGTGCTAATCTAAGCCCTTCACCACCTCATTAACCTTCCATTTCACACCATGCCTACTCAGTGTCCCAGTATCTACCTCCCTTTCCCAATTTTTAGGTAAATTCATCCTTTCCTCACACACAGAATATAACAATCTAGATCCTATTGATTTTTGGATTCTAGACACAAGCGCGTCAGATCATATTTCATGCTCTCTATCCCTTTTCATAGAGCATAGAGTGACTCACAATATGTTTGTTTACCTACCAAATGCCACAAAAGTCCTTGTGACACATATAGGAACTGTTAAATTTCCTTCAGGACTCATTCTATACAATGTTCTGTTTGTCCCCAGTTTCTCCTTTAACCTTGTGTCTGTTAGTAAACTCACCCATGATCATCCTTTAGCCTTACATTTCCAATCTGATTTCTGCCAAATCCAGGACCTGCTAAGCAAGAAGATGATTGGTTTAGCAAAAGAGAGTATAGGCCTGTACCAGCTCACCTTTTCCAAACCAAAACCCAACCATCCATACCACTACCTCAAGCAGCCAGTTCTTTCAACTAGGACTTCTTTGTTACAACAAACAGATTTATCTGTAACCAGTCCTAAATTTAAACACTGTGATGTCTACCATCTTTCCAAACATAAGAAACTGCCCTTTCCTGTTAGCACCAGTATTGCACATGATTTGTTCCATTTGATTCATGTTGATATATAGGGGCCTTTGTCTGTGATCTCTTATGATGGATATGCTTACTTTTTTACTGTTGTGGATGATTGTTCAAGGGTTGTGTGGATATTTAATGAAACACAAAAGTGAGGCTAGACCTCTTCTTAACGGGTTCTGCATTCTTGTACAGAATCAGTTTGGTAAATGTGTTAAATTGATCAGGAGTGACCAAGGACAGGAGTTTAACATGTGTGATTTTTACATGGAACATGGGATTGAACATCAGATATCTTGTATAGAGACACCAGAACAAAATGCACATGTAGAAAGGAAACACCAGCACATTTTAAATGTTGCAAGGTCTCTTAGATTTCAGTCAGGACTTCCTTTAACCTATTGGAGTGACTGCATTCTGCATGCCACCTATCTCATAAACAGATTGCCTACTCCAGTCCTTGAGAACAAGTCTCCATATGAAGTTCTATACCAAACCTCACCTCTACTGGGTCACTTACGTGTGTTTGGATGCTTGTTCTATGCAAGCACCTTCGTCAGTGGTAGAACTAAGTTTGCACCACGTGCAAGACAGTGTGTTTTCATTGGTCTTCCAGCTGGGATTAAAGGGTATAAGTTGCTTGATTTGCAGACCAGGGAGGTTTTTGTTTCCAGACATGTAGTCTTTTATGAATCAATTCTTCCATTTCGAAGCTCATCAGACACACATGATTTACCTTCCCCTGATGCTAATCTACCTTCTCCTTCCTTCCCTGTGGTGACTCTTGCCCAACCAATCTTAGTTCCCACTACCACACCACCTCATATACCTGATTCAGCCTGTGATTCAAGGGCGGATCCATCTAGTAGTAGTTCTGAGGAAGTTCCTTCATTGAATGAGTTTTCACCTGGTTCAGAACTGGAACCTGAATTGGAACCACATGCACCATATGAGGAACCTACTGGTAGACCCAGACGAAAGATTGTCCTTCCTGTTAAGTACCAAGATTGTGTATTGGATCCTCAATTTCAGTTTGGAGCTTTTGGAGCTACTGTTACTAGGCATTCTGTCACATTTGATCTAGATCATCTCAATGCAGCAGACAAAGCTTATGCATTGAGTATTCTGACTTGTGTGGAACCTAGAAGCTATAGAGAAGCTATTCAAGTTCTGTAATGGAGGAGAGCAATTAATGAGGAACTTGCAGCATTGGAGGCCAATCAGACATGGGAAATAGTACCAGTGCCCCCAGATAAACATGTAGTGGGGAGCAAATGGGTTTTAAACTCAAATTGAAGCCATATGGTACAATAGAAAGGTATAAGGCTAGGCTGGTTGCAAAAGGCTTTACTCAGGTGTATGGAATTGATTTCCTTGACACTTATTCACCTGTAGCAAAAATTAACTCAGTAAAAGCCTTATTGGCAATAGAAGTAGTAAAGAATTGGACTCTTGAGCAGTTAGATGTCTCTAATGACTTCTTACATGGAGACTTAACTGAAGAAGTTTATATGGAAATACCTCAAGAAGTTGAAATTCCATGTTCAAGCAATACAAGGATGGCTTGCAGATTGAAGAAGTCACTGTATGGATTGAACAAGCCTCCAAACAGTGGTTCTCTAAGCTGACAGGTTTCTTATTGAGGAATGGGTTCTCACAGTCCAAATCTGATTATTCCTTGTTTACCAAGTGGATTCATGACAGGATTGTGGTGATTTTAGTCTATGTGGATGATATCATAGTTGGAGGAGATGCACAGAAGGACATAGACCAGATTAAAAGGTCATTGTGTGGTGAGTTTGAAGTTAAACTGCTTGGTCCTCTGAAATATTTTCTTGGATTGGAAGTGACAAGGATTGTAGAAGGTTTATCTGTTTGTCAGAGGAAGTATTGTATGGAGCTGCTGAATGATACTGGTTTTCTTGAAGCTAAAGGTTGCTTGTCTCCATCTGATCCCAAGGTGAAGCTTGCAGCAGGACAAGGAATCAAGATGGAAGACCCTGAGATGTACAGAAGGCTAGTGGGAAGGTTGCACTATATCAGAATCACTAGGCCTGGTCTTACTTTCTCAGTGCAACAACTTTGCCAATTCCAGAAAGATCCATAGAGTGCTTAGATACCTTAAGACATCTCCAAGACAAGGGATTTACTTCAGCAGCCAAGCAGAACTGAAACTCACTGGATTCTGTGATTCTGACTGGGCAAGCTGTCCTGACAGCAGGAGATCCACTACAGGCTATTGCACTTTTATTGGAAGATCATTACTCACCTGGAAGTCTAAGAAGCAAACCACGGTTTCCAGATCGTCATCAGAAGCTGAGTATAGAGCTCTTGCTCTACTGGTCAGTAAAATTGAGTGGCTGAGAAGTCTGTTGGCTGAATTGAGTGTCAAAATACCATTATCTGTGACTGTTTACTGTGACAATAGGTCTGCAATCCACATTGCTGAGAACCCGGTGTTTCATGAAAGGACAAAGCATATCGAGATCGATATGCATGTCACTAGAGAAAGGATTAAGGATGGATTGATACAACTGCAACATGTCAGTACAATTAATCAATTGGCTGACATTTTCACTAAAAGTCTTCATAGGGTGCGTATCCAAGAGTTGCTTGGCAAGTTGGGAATCCTGAAGGATGCCACAACTTGAAGGGGGGTGTCAACCAAGTGAAGAGGTCAAGTTGCAGAGGAGTCCTGATGCTGTCTGGATTACGAGGAAGGAGAAGGAGTTTCACCAGAGAAACGTTTCAGAAGAAGTTTTTATTTGAAGTTGATTTTATATGTTGAACGATGTCGTTTTGCTTAGGCTTAATAGCTGTTGTTAAGAACTGTTTACATTTTGTAATGGCCAATGACATTCTGCCACTTGGCTAACTCTAGAGTGATTCTGTTTTATCCGAACACAGTAGTATATATTGGAATCAGAGGCAACTCCCTAGCTTTTGAGGGTTTGCCAATTCTCCAAACCTAGAAGGCTTTTAGTCCCCCTGCAGGTCCAACCCGGCCAGCGAGTCCCCGATATCCAGAACCCCGTTGAGCAAGAAGAGATTGTCGAGCATCTCCTTGAACTCCTCGGGCATCACAATCCCCCGCCACCGTCACCCCGATGTACTTCTTCCCCAACACCATTCGGGTGATCACGTTGAGGCTGAGGTCCGACAAGTGGTCCTTCAAATTCACTAGATTTCCATTCAGCCCGAACATAGACGAGGAAATTACCTCGATGTCGACTGTCCGGAGCTGAAGCACTAACGGGTAAAGAGATTGAAATTCCCCAGAAGGCTAATTTTTTCCCCCGTTGATCTTCTAAAGCTTTTTGAGTCTGGGTGGAATTGATGAACTGTCGAAGGTGGGGAGAGGATCTTGGCGCTGACGGCAATGGAGCGGCGGGAACTTTTTTGGGGCGGAGGGAGAGGTCTGGGTGCTTGCGGAGATGAACGAATTGGGGAAGTGGAAGGGCGTTTTGATGAGGCGGCGGCTGCGACACCGTGTACGGCGTAGGAGGAGGAGGGATAGTGAGAAAGGCGGTGAGGTTAGTTGATGAGATTTGGAAAATTAAAACAAAAGTTTTTTTTATTTTTAATGTTAGTGATAATGAGGTGGAAATTATATTTTTTTACAATTTACTTTTAAATTGCCACGTCATACATTTGACGGTCAACTATCTGAGTTGACTGCCACATCAGCGAAAGTTAACGGAGACTAACGGAAAATGACCAAACTTGAACTGTTGAACTAATTTTAGTGATTATGAATGGAATAAACTAATTTTAGTGGCAAATGTGAAACTTTTTAGTAATTCAAATGACCAAACTTGCAATTTAGCCTATTCCTATATATGGAAACTTCAATCTCAAATGATGTCACCATTTAAAAAAAAAACTTCAATACCAAATTGCACAATTAATTGTCCAAGTGGCAATGTGAATAGTACATATTTAATGCTGAAAATCTTGTGATGTATATATAAAAGATGTTTCCCGCATGTATTTTACCTCGCTTCACTATCACCTATATTATATACAATTATCTGTCTTCGTGGCTAAAACATAACAACCCAGTTTTGTATAAACATTGTTATGAATAGTTGGTTTTGCTTAGGGTCCAGTGAAATCGGCTACTTCACTGGCGATTCTGCGTTGGCTGGTCCAGAGTATGGTGATTCTAAAATGGTTGTATATTCTGGTGCACTCGAGGTTGTTGATACAGAGCGTGGAGGTACACAAAATTTGATGGAATCACACTTCGCTCATTTGATACCTAATCAAAAGCCTTTGCATTTGATGGCCAGCAGTAGCAACGCTAAAATCCGAGATTATGTATCAAACGGGAATCGACGTGCAGAAGAGGACTCTTACATAAGGAAGTTGCTCTCCCGTAACAACCTTTAGTGAATCTGTTATGACATTCATAAGTGCGAACAATCGGTCCTGGGTATTGAAATGGATGTTTCTGACGACGAGAAGAAGTAGTACTTGCTTGATCGTTGGTATTTTGGTGTATGCTATCCTTTGATAGTTTAAGCATGCACGCGTGTCTTTATTTTAGTTTTATTTAAGTGTGTTTTTGCTGCTTTCAATAATTTGTTGTTGCCGTTTAAATATATAATTTACATTTGCTTGCATTTTTTCTGTGTAACGGACTTTTGTGGTATCATCTTTTTAAGTAAGGCTTGGGTATTTTGGTTCTATTGTTCGTTATTCCAGTAATAAAATATCGGATTTGATTTTTTTTACTGGCTAATCAATAATAAGTTTATCCAGTTTATTGTGTACGAACAGCAGATAGTCTGCGTTATGATACATCAAAAAATTATGTACAAGGGTTCTAATTTTTTTTACAACAAACACCATTCATTTCATTCCAAACACAAACAAGTGGGAAGAATTACAATTACAATAATGAAGCAACAAGGTCGGCAGTGACAGTCCACTCTGGAGGAAAAAGATCAAGACGAGAGTTCTTTGCGATCCAATCAGTCAACACATTGAATCGACGGGGATCAAACTCAACCAAAATCCAAGGAGAAACACAAAGAATGGAAACCACACGGACAAGGGTTGCCCTGCACTGCCATGGCCTAGGGGTGGGCAACGGGACGGAAACCTGTCCCGTTTGAAACGGGTACCCAATCCCATTTGAAGAGCAATCCCTATCCCATATCCCAAATCTATACGGGTTAACGGGTACGCATTACTAGGGGTGGCAGTACGGTCCGGTCCGGTTAAATTGGCCCGAATTGATCCGGTCCGGTCCGGTCTTTTTGGAAATATGGGGACCAAAACTTGGATTGGGTACAGTCCGGTTTTGACCCGGTCCGGTTTTGACCCAGTCCGGTCCCAATCCGGTTTTGACCTGTTTTGACCCGTTTTGACCATGTTGCAAAAAATTCAGCAGCATATACCTATTTCCTGGAATGTAAACAACCTGTTTGTAGCAAAAATCAAGCCAAATATGGTCCAATACAAAATCACAACCATCATTGATGTCTATTACAAACTCAAAGTCCAATTCAAACTTCAAAATAAAAATAAAGTGCATCACAAGTTCACAAACAAAGTTTAGACATCAAACACCAAACTCACTTCAATCGATAATAAACTCATCCAACCCTGGTATATCACATTCCATCATTCAAATGCAGCAATTCTTTTAGACTATAAGCAAAACTGTAATAGCTAGCATGTGTTTCTGCCACTGCCAAATCTTTGGCATATCTCTTTACTTTGTCCTGGCTGGATTGTTTTTGTCATTTTGGCAAAGGCTGGAAATTTTCATTGATAAGCAAAAGATGCACCCAAAATTTAAGAATTTGTGCCAATGGTCAGTACTGTCGAATAATACAAGAACTAAAAGAAAGAAATAAAATCAATTCATGAGAACAATGGCGGGTTAGGCAGAATAATTAAGGAACAAAGTGACGACAAACAACAAGGACACATGATGAGCTTCATTCATTTGCACAGTTTGCTTACCCAGCTGCTGCTGCCTTCCATTTCTATGAGTTCGCAGATGTTCCCAAAAGTCGACGAACGGTGATGAGGCTGTGGGAGGGCGACGAGGCTATGACAGAGCCGGCGACGAGGCTATGACAGAGCTGAGTCGGAGTCGCGTCGGGGCTGGGTGGTCGGGGTCGTCGCGGCTGTGCTGTCGGCGCGGAGGCGGGTCGTCGCTGGTGAAAGTTTGTGCTTTTGTGCTGCTCGGGGTCGTCGCTGCTCGCTGTCGGCGCGGAGGCGGGTCGGAGTCGGCGCTAGGTCGGCGCGGGCCGCAGAGGCGGACTGTGGACTGGAGCGGCGAAATGGCGATAGGAGGAGGTCGCGACGGGACAGAGTTGGGGGCGGAGGCTTCCTGTTCCTGGGTCACGACGGGACGGATGCTTGCGGCTGCAGCTGGGTCGCGAGTCGCGACGTCACGTCGCAGAGAACGAGTCGCGACCAGCAACGAGAGAAGAGAAGGTCGCCGTCGCCGTCGTGATGGTCCGAGTCTCCGAGACTCCATCGACGGCGCGCTGGTCCGAGAGTCTCCGATGGCGATGGCGATGGGCGATGCTTTCAGTCTCGAGGGAGAGGGAGGCGGCAGGCGGAATGAAGACTGAAGAGAGGCTGGGTCAGCTCTCAACCCTACAGACGACAGAGAACAGAGGCCATGGGTTAGTGGGCCTGGGTAAGTGGGCCGAGAGGCCATGGGTATTGGCCTATCCGATCTTCCGGTTTTTACCCGGTTTTGACCCGGACTGGATTGGTCCGGTTTTTTTGCTAATTCTAGGACCAAAGACGGGATTGGATTGTTTTAAATCCGGTCCCGGTCTTAAAACGGTCCGGTTTTTACGGTCCGGTTTCCGGTTTTCAATCCGGTCCCGGTCCAAACTGCCAGCCCTACCCATTACCCGTACCGGATGGATAACGAGTACCCATATTACCCGTAAATACCCGTCCAATTGGTGGAACAAAATTAAAACTACAATCAAACATGAAATTTTACATTATTGAACTTGGACATGTAAATTGATTCATTAGATTGAAAAACATCCTACCTTCACAACACACACCTCCGGAAACAAAGGAAGTAAGATTCATTTCTTTGAATATGTGCACTAATAACGACAAGCCATATTCTGTAAAAATGCAACTCACCGTTTCACAACTGCTTCCCAGTAACCTCAAATAAGGAATTCCACCAAGGTAAACATTCATCAAGGCTAGCACACTAAAGCTTAATTACCTGGGATGGAGTTCAGTAGAGTGGTTACTATGGGCTGTGATGGGATCACTCAAATTGGGGGTAGAAAGTCCCAACCTCTTAGAGTAAATGGGTTTTGGGCGTTGGACTAATGGATATAACGGGTACCCAAAGTAGTAATTCTTGATCCCAAGTCCCATCCCGTAAAAAAATTACGGGTATTTGGGTACCCGTAACCCTCAAAAAACGGGACGGGTACGGGTATACCCAAATACCCGTTTCCTGTTGCCCACCCCTACCATGGCCAAAGGCTCTGATCCTCTCTCAATGCAATCGTCATTCTCTGGCAGTCAAACCTGATACACGTTAGGACTGGATCCTAGACTGCCAAGATAACTGCATTGAGAATTGCAAAAGCTTCTGTCTGAATCGGAGAGGAAGAAAAGAATCTATCAACTCTTCCATAGATAACCTGACCGTGGGGGTTAGCGATATCAATCCCATAAGCCGTCACCTAGAAGAGGAAGAAACTAAGGACGAGATCCTAACTTCCTGAACGTTTCAGACATCTCAATCAGCTAAATTGCCACATGGGTTCTCATGATGAGAAGAATTATCACTATATCAATTTATTGGTTGTGTTCATTTATGATCTTTTACTATAAATAATTATATATGTTATTAATATTTGCGTGGTAGTAATGTCGTTTAACGTTTTTTTACAAGTTACAGATTAATTTGCTTCAGTTGTTCACCTTAGCGGAGGAAAGTATGGAAAATAAAAATTTATTGGGTAACCATCTTCTTACTCTATGATGATGCCAGATTTTCATCCACCTTTGTGCAGCGTTGGGTTGTGCAGCGTTGCCAGTAAAGTCACCGTCACAATCAATAAGGAATTTATGATTGAACAGATGATAAATGGTAAATAGTAAATTGGCAGAAGATTGGTCTGACCTTGTGATTGATGTTATTCTTTTTGTTGAAAAGTCCCATTTATTTCACGATATTTGACTTTTCTTTTTTCCTTATCTTCATATCATTGTTATAGTACAATTCTTTCTGTAGATGTTTTTATTTGCATGTCCTTACTCCTTGCCTTATATTTGTGTAGATTTACCTGCGCTTCTGATGTCGGTTATTAGGTTTATTGTTTAATGTAATTTTGTTTGTTAAATTGTTCATGTCATTCTACGAGATCAACTGCGACTAGCTTAGTGTTGCGTTAATCGTAATTGATTTCATTTTGACGTTTATATAGCCTTATGTCCCAAAATGAATCATCCATTTCTCTCGCACTGTAATGGGTTTTACATAATACGTTGCAATATTTATGATCCAACTTATGATACTTGTTAATGTCTTTGTAGTAATTCATGTACAACTAAGAGGGGTTCACTATTTTCATATAAACAGTAATGTTACTATTTGTGCATAACTAAAATTGTTAAAACGCGTTTCTTATTTTTTTTTATAAGAGTGATATATGTTTCATTTTATTATTATTAAGGTACTACTTAAGGGATTCGGACCTGTAACCTTCAATTTCTAGGCTAGTGGTATTATCACTAGGCCAATCTCTTGTTCGTATTAAACCACGTTTTATTAGAAAACAGAAAAAATCATAGTCATTGTTCGCTAACAATAATCATGACAAACTGCTCACTAAGTGGTGTTATGATCAAGTATAGCAGTTTTAACGTAGACTTAATTCTCCACATTGGGTTACTTAAGTGTACCCCTTCATTATTTTGAGATGTGTTCACATGCAAAAACTTATAAAGAGACGGTCACTCGTCGTCATACCACACTTTCTTTTGTGCGTCCTCTTCTCTCTTCTTCATTCCTTCTGCGGTTTTACCCCTTCCATTTCCTTCTAACTTAGACTCATCAATCAGCCTTCTCTCTCTCCTTTATTCTAAGTGATTCCCACATCCAATCACCATCATCATTCCCAATATACGAAGCCTCCTCTTCTCTTATCTCTCTCTCAACTATTCTTTGCTCCCTTCTTGGTTTCTCTTATTTACTCTCAGCATCATCTGCATCGCCCAACTATATATATTGTCCTCAAGATGTCAACATAGACATAATCCTTCCCGTGATCAACCCGGTGGTGTAGGATTTTCTCATATTTCAATAGGTTGGTACATTTGCAATTCATTTGTCATCGGGTGTAAACCAAAATCAACCTAATATATTTTTGTTCTTTTCAAATATATAGTTGCCCTTAATCCCCAACTGTAAACATGGAAAGTCGAGTTATGGGGTTCATTACGCAAACTATCTGTTTTATTAAAATATATATTGTTTGTAACCTGTCACGTGTCTAAGGAAAGTTAATATGGTGGTCAATACTTCCAACTGTCACGAGTTTGAGTCGTCACAAATGAGCCACCTTTTCTATAATATTTTTGTGTCAAAAGGAATTTTGTGATGGTGTTATTATCACAAAATTAAAATTTTGTGACAAACCTATTGGTAACAAACTTATTTGTCACAAGTATAATATTTATTGTTATGCCTGGTGTCGAACAATTCGAATTTTGTGAGAAGTTTTGTTGTGACATTTAAGATAAATGTGAACCTTTTGATAATAATAGTAAAGGTCTTATGAGAAATCTGTTGTCACAAATATCTTTATACAACAAAATTTTGACAATAATAGAACAAAATTTAATTCATCATCAAACAATAAAATAAAATAGATTGTACTAAAAATTAAAGAGATATATGCTCAACTTTAATCTCAAATTGCAAGCAAAATATATTGTCATCGGATTTCTTCTTTTCCTCAGCCAACTTGTAAGCAAGCTATAATGTTTTACCCCTGCTTGTATTTCCTTCCTTAGCTTTATCTTTTTCTTCTCTTCTGTCCGTCCTAATGCAGTAACAGGGATCCAAGAGCTTCACTTCACATAACTCATCTAAAACGCAAATATTTGACAAGCCAAGTTGAAAATTAAGTAGAAACTAAATAAAAAAGGTCCCAACAAATACTAAAATAAATTAAAAAGAAATGAACCTATATTTCTCGTAGCCGCATGGAAGAATAAGTGTATTAGTGTAAAGATAATTAAATCCAAGAAGAGGATTCCATCAAATAAAGTAGAATACAACATTTACCTCCCCCATTCTTACTTACCTACATTCAACATTATCTAGGGTCCATGGTGAAGATTCCATTCTACCAAGTTATGTGCTTTGAATCTCAAATTTCATCACCTGAACTTTTTCCTAAGTATTACTACATGCAAGATCAATTGATTAGCTAATCATTATCCTTGACCACCACTTAAAATCCTCCTTCAGCCTTCGACCCAGCCTCAATACTCAATATATATGTTGCCCAATCAAACTCTTACGAATTATTATTTGTATACATACAATAATGATACAACCAGTCTGCAATTTGGGTTCTTAGCCGGTAATAAATAAACTTCTCCCACTTTCCATGCTAACACACGACCTTGCTCTATCATCTAATTCCAAACATTTCATAGACAACATTGACTAAGAATTAAGAGAGCTAAGCCCTTACCTCAATTTCATCCCGCCTCGACATTGTCACATGGAAGGTTGTTCTTGTCCGACTCCATCGCCTCGTTCGTCAATAAGGCGACTTATTTTCCCTTCAGTACTGCTCTGTTAACGAGAGTGGGTTATCATTAACTACATCAAGCCCCGATTGTCCAAGAAGTAGCTTCAACTTCTTGACCGCAACTCTGTTTGACGCCGTCATCGTTGTTCTTGGCGATGATGATTCCCACCTCACCTCTTTCCTGGAATTCTTTGATTCTCCTCTTGCTCTAGAAACAGGATTGCTTCTCTCTCGTTCGTCGACGCTGCCAATCTTGTTGGAGTGCGACGAGGGGGACGGCTGCTTGGGGTTATATTTGAGGCTAGGGTTTCTTTATGTAGACGTGATTAGATGGGAAGGGTTATTAATTAAGGAATCCTAACAAATTTTATAGGTCGGGTGTTAAATACGGTTTGGTTAAAGAAACAAGTTGTTAATATCCAAAATGTAAAAAGAAAATAATGAAATTCAGGTTTTATAATAAAATTGTAAAAGAAACTAAAATGAACCACTGTTTGTGAAATCAAACTGAATGAACTTGTCAAGTAACACATTTTTAGTATAACATGATAACCTATTTGTTGTTAACGAACATTATGATCTAAATAATTGATATAGGAGATTAAGAGGCAATTTCAATGGTCAAATCCACCACATATGTATTTTAATGTGCCATATTTGAGTCCTATTAAGTGATAATTAATATGTTAGTGATATACATTACTTGTCATACTATATATTTAACATGTCGAATATTTATGACAAATTAGAACCATCTCATGAAATGATGAATTATTTTTTGTAGTGATTAATAATATTAGTTAATAATAAGTATC